CCGTGTAATACCCACCTTCTTAAAATGTAATTGCTTGAAGTATATAATATAGCACACCGTGTGAGAATATGAAGAAAATAAAACTTTTGGGACCATAGCCAACTGTTAGAATCAGTGTTTATGGAAAAAAAAAGGGGGGGAGGAGGTGGCAGTTGAAGGTGACAATTTTGGTATCTGATAGCCCGGTTGTTCTCAAAGACTGCTTTGTTCTCAAAGACCCCAAGAACCACTTGGGAGCTTTCTGAAATCTCTGGTTCCATTTGCAGAGATTCTATCTAGTCGGTTAACAGTGGAGATCAAGAAAGCAAAAAAAAAAAAAATTAAGTTTCTCTGGTGATCCTGATTCTTAGCCAGGCCTGGGAATCACTAGTGTAGAAAAATATAATAGAATTCTTTAACTTAGTACATCATTTATTTCCTATCATTTTATTCCAAGTGGTATTTATGGGGAAATATACATATCTATACCCAGAGAAGGGGACTAGGAAGATATTTACCAAAATCAGAATTGTGATTATCTCTGGATTATAGGTTTATGGAAATATTTATTTTGCAATTGCTTTTCTTATTTCTGAGTTCTGGTTGAGCATATGTTATTTTTATAATAATAGATGTTTCTAAGGAAAATATTTACAACCAGTGCAAGATTTATTTTTATTGAGGTATAATTGGCATACAATAGCCTATTAGTTTAAGGTATACATCATAGTGATTCCGTATTTTTTATACATTATGAAACGATCCCCATAGTAAGTCTAGTTACTGTCACCATACAAAGTTAATACAGTATTATTGATTATATTCCCTTTGTGTACATTACATTCTTACAACATTTATTTTATAACTGGAATTTTGTCCCTGTTAATTTCCCTTACCTATTTTGCCCACCTCTCAACACCTCCCCACTCTGGTAACCAACAGTTTATTTCCTGTATCTCTAACTGTTTCTGTTTATGTTATATGTTTGTTTGTTTTATTTCTTAGATTCCACATATAGGTGAAATCATAATGGTATTTGTCTTCCTCTGTCTGACTTATTTCATTTAGCATAATACCCTCTAGGTCCACCCATGTCACAAGATTTCATTCTTTTTTATGGCTGAGTAATATTCCACTCTGTATATATGTGTGTATGTGTGTGTACCACATCTTATTTATCCATTCATCTATTGATAGGTTGTTTCCATATCTTGGTTATTGTAAATAATGCTGCAGTGAACGTGGAGGTGTTTATATTCCTTCAAATTGGTGTTTTTGTTTTTTTTTGGATAAATACCAAGAAGTGGAATTGCTGAGTCATATGGTAGTTCTATTTTTAATTTTTGAGGGGAACCTCCATGTAGAAAAGAACCTCCATGTTCTTTTCTACAGTAACTGCACCAGTTTACATTCCCACCAACAGTGTATGGGGGTTCCCTTTTCTCCACATCCTGGCTAACACTTATTTTTTGTCTTTTTAATAATAACCAATCTGATGTGAGGTAAATGTGAGGTAAAATTGTGGTTTTGATTTGCAGTTCCCTGATTGGTATTTCCCTGATTTGCATTTCCCTGATGTTGAGCATCTTTTCATGTGCCTATTGGCCATCTGTAAGTCTTCCTTGGAAAAATCTCTTTATCATGTTGAGATACATTTCTTCTATACCCACTTTAAGAGTTTTTATCATAAATGGATGCTGAATTTTGTCAAATGCTTTTTCTGCATCAATTAAGATGATCATATGATTTTTATCCTTTGTTTCTTTTCTGTAGTGTATCACATTGATTGATTTAAGGAAGTTGAACCACCCTTGTATCCCTGAAATACTGTACCCTGGAATCCCATTTGATTGTGGTATATGATCTTTTTCATGTGTTGTTGAATTTAGTTTGCTAGTGTTTTGTTGAGGATTTTTGTGTATGTGTCCTTTAAGGAATATATGCCTATAATTTTCTTCTTTTCTTGTATCTGGTTCTGGTATTGGGTAATTCTACCTTTGTAAAATGAGTTTGGAGGCATTCCTTCCTCTTCAATTTTTCTGGAATAATTTGAGAAGGATAGGTACTAACTCTTTTTTAAATGTTTGGTAGAACTCACCTATAACAACATCTGGTTCTGGACTTTGTTGGGAGTTTTTAAATTACTGATTCAATTTCATTACTAGTAATCAGTCTACTTGAGTTTTCTGTGTCTTTATGATTTGGTCTTGCAAGGTTGTGTATTTCAAGGAATTTATTCATTTCTTCCAGGTTTTCCATTTTGTTGATGTATAAGTGTTCATAGTAGCCTCTTGTGATCCCTTATATTTCTGTGGTGTCAGTTGTGACTTCTCTTTCATTTCTGATTTTATTTGGGCCCTCTGTCTTTTTTCTTGATGACACTGGCTAGAGATCTATTGATTTTGTTTATCTTTTCGAAGAACCAGCTTTCGGTTTCATTGATCTTTTCTATTTTTTCATCTCTATTTCATTTATTTCCACTCTGATCTTTATTATTTCCTTCTTTCTACTAACTTTGGGCTTTGTTTGTTATCTTTATCCTTTTTCTAGTTCATTTAGGTGTAAAGTTAGATTGTTTATTTGGGATTTTTTTGTTTGTTTCTTGAGGTAGGCCTGTCTCACTATGAACTTCCTTCTTAGAATTGCTTTTTGCTGTGTCACACAAATTTTGAAACATTGTGTTTCCATTTTCAAGGTGTTTTTAATTCTCTTTCTTTCTTCACTGACCCACTGATTGTTTAGTAGCATGTTGTTAGTCTCCTCATGTTTGTGTTTTTTCCAGTTTTCTTCTTGTAATTGATTTCTAGTTTCATGTTGTGACCAGAAAAGATGCCTGTCATGGTTTTAATCTTCTTGATTTTACTGAGACTTGTTTTGTGGCCTAACATTGTGGTCGATCCTGGAGAATAGTCCATGTACACTTGTAAAGAATGTATATTCTGTAGTTTTTAGATGAAGTGTTCTGTATAAAAGTGTAAAGTCCTTCTGGTCTAGTGTGTTGTTTTTTGGGTCACTGTTTCCTTATTTTTTTTTTTTTGCCTGGGTGATCTCTGTATTAATGTAAGTAGGGTGTTAAGGTCCCCTATTATTATTGTATTACTGTCAGTTTCTCTATGTCTGTTAATATTAGCTTTATATATTTAGGTGCTCCGATGTTGGGTACATTTATATCTACAAATTAATTGATTCTTGGATTGACCCCTTTATCATTATGTAATGTCCTTCTTAGTCTTTTGTGACAGTCTTCGTTTTAAAGTCTATTTTATCTCCAGGGCACCTGGGTGGCTCAGTCGGTTAAGCATCTGCCTTCAGGTCAGGTCATGATCCCGGAATCCTGAGATCGAGCCCCACGGTGGGCTCCCTGATCAACGAGGAGTCTGCTTCTCCCTCTCCCTTTGCCCCTCCCCATGCTACTTCTCTTGAACTCTCTCTCTCTCTCGCTCATTCTCTCTCTCAAAATAAATAAATAAAATACTAAAAATAATAAAGTCTGTTTTATTTGATATGATTATTGCTATTCTTTCTTTTCATTCCCATTTACATGGAATATTTGTTTCCATCTCTTCATTTTCAGCCTGTGTGTCTTTGATCTGAAGTGAGTCTCTTGTAGGCATCGTATTTGTAGTCTTCTATTTTTATCCATTCAGCCAACCTATGTTTTCTTATTGGAGCATTTAGTCCATTTATATTTAAAGTAATTATTGATGAGTATGTACTTATTGCCATTTTGTTAATTGTTTTCTGGTTATTTTTGTAGTTTTTCCCTGTTTATTTCTTCCTCTCTTTGTCTTCTCCCCTGTAGTTTGATGGTTTTCTTTAGTGTTATGTTTGGGTTCTTTTCTCTTTATTTTGTGTGTATCTATTGTAGGTTTTAGGCTTGTGGTTACCATGAGGTTTATCTATGTTGATCTATTTATATAGCAGTTTTTTTAAAAAAAGATTTTATTTATTTATTTGACAGAGAGAGACACAGTGAGAGAGGGAACACAGCAGGGGGAGCAGGAGAGGGAGAAGCAGGCTTCCCTCTGAGCAGGGAGCCCAATGCGGGGCTTGATCCCAGGACCCTGGGATCACGACCTGAGCCGAAGGCAGACGCTTAACGACTGAGCCACCCAGGCACCCCTATGTAGCAGTTTATTTTAAGCTGATAGTCACTTAAGTTTGAATGAACCTAAAAGCACTTCCTTTTTTACCTCTCCCCATGTTTTATGTTTTTGATGTCATATTTTATCTCTTTTTATTTTGTGTATTTTTTAACTACTTAGGTAGTTATAGTTATTTTTACTATTTTTGGTTTTTAACCTTCATACTAGCTTTTAAGTGGCTGATCACTGCCTTGACTATATATTTGCTTTACTAGTGAGATTTTTTTCTTTTATATATTTTCTTATTTCTAGTTATGGCATTTTCTTTTCCAGTTAAAGAAGATCTTTTAACAGTTCTTGTAAGGCTGGTTTAGTGGTGATGACCTCCTTTAGCTTTTGCTTGTCTGGAAAGCTCTTTTTCTCCCCTTTAATTTTGAATGATAACCTTGTAGGGTAGAGTATTCTTGGTTGTAAGTTTTTCCCTTTTAGCACTTTAAATATATCCTGCTATTCCCTTTTGGCCTACAAAGTTTCTGCTGAAAACTGATGACCAGTGTAGGATTTTAAAGACCCCCATGCAGTCTGTTTTTTTAGTTTACCAAATGTGGAAAAAAAAAACAAACAAACCGTATAGTCTATCAATGCCTATGTCACATAGCTTTTTTTTTTTTTTTAAGGAGAAGCTACTTATAAAACAATGTGAAGACAAAATTTATTCATCTGTGTTAAAAAATGGCACAAATTCTTTTAGAACACCAATACAGCAATAAATGTACATCTTAGGGAATGTAAAACAAATTAAATCCTAATTAGCTTTTACTTGTTTTGCCTTGGTCAGATTAGAAATGTGAGTCACTGGTTATGTTTACAAAAGGACTAATCAGAGAGAGAAAAACGGTTTTATTACAATATAGATTTTCCATTCAATTTGTGTTCTGGGCTGTGCTCCAAGAACAAAGTTCATTCCTTTTTGAAGATCCTCTGGGCTTCTACTCCTTCATATATGTAAGTCTGAAAGGTGTTAACAAACATAGAAGAAATTGACATTAAGATTTAAAGTTCAATTAAGAAAAATATTAGTATTATTATAGCTTTGAAATGATTATAGTATTTTTTCTTAGTCTTTATAGCAACATTTTATACAGATACAGGATATACCCACTAAAAACACATTTTTTTTGTTTTTAGTCACATTTTTAGTTAAAATAAGATTTATGAGAAAAATAATAGTTTATTTGTTGAATATATAACTCAGCAATCACAAATATAAAATTATTATTATGTAATTATTTTTGTCTTTAGGAAATAGCTATGATCTTTTTACCACTCACCTGAACCAATTCACCACCTATAATTTCTCGGATAGCATTCAGTTCATTTCCATTGTCTACCCGTCTGAATTTTCCAACAAGTTTATTTCCTTCTAGGTTCCAAGTACCCTATAAATGTAAAATAATAATAAATAATAATAATAATAACAAATAGCTTTTTTAAGGGTCTTACATATGTTAGGCACTGTTCTGAGTATTATAGATCTACTTCTTCAGTCTTCACAATGACCTTATGAAGTAGGTATTACTGTCTCCATTTTATGGTTGAGAAAACTGGGACACAATAATTCACCTAAAGTCATAGAGCCAGGATTGAACCTAGGCTTTTGGGGCTCTAGATTATATGCTGGTAACCCTTATGTTTGTCTCACTCAGTTGTTTCCAAATGCTAAATTTTAAGGTAGATGAGCAATGTTTCCTTTTTCTAAATCTTTCATGTTAAAAAGAGTATCCTAAATTTAGTCATGGTTCAAGTTAGTTTCATGGAGAGCCTAACAACACTGTGTATGTTTTAATTTTATAATGGTTGTAATAATTTAAAAATGGCCATTGGGATGCCTGGCTGGCTTAGTTGATGGAGCATGCAACTTTTGATCTTGGGTTGTGGGTTCAAGCCCCATGTTGGTTGTAGAGATTGCTTACAAATAAAGTCTTTAAATAAATAAATGGCCATAAATGAAAAGTATTTGACAGTTTGTCATTACAAACATATAGTTTAACTAGAAAATCCTGAGGACAAAAAAGTTTTTAAAAAATCAGTTGAAAAATATGACTATCTAAAATTTTTTATTTTAAACATTAAAAGGTATATTCCCAATGACCTACAATGTAGCATGCATCAGACTTTTCCATTTGCTCACCCATTAATTAATTAATTAATTAATTAATTTTATTATTTTAGTGTATTTATTAAATGATTATTAAGTTTAAGTTAGATAAATCTAAAAGCTTTTGGTGCTATCCAGTATGTAAAGTTGAAAACACTGAGCTTTAGTTTTCTTTATGAATAATAGGTCTATATTTAATCATCCAAAGGATGTTTTTCTAATTCTTAGTGTTCAATCCAGATTATTTACAGATGTATGAAAATAAAAACATTAGACTTAAATATCCTGCCAATTTGTGCAATATATACTGTGGATAAATTCTATTGGCTGCTTCAGTAAATGAAGGAGGCTTAACATTAAACATCCAGTGATAGAAAAGAGATTATTTTAGTATTGTGTAGAAAAATCAAGAATGTATTGCTTATAAAAAGTATCTTACACTGAGTTCAGTTCCATCTGCTAGGCTGTAATTAAAAGTGACACCAAGCTCAAAAACAATTTCAATGGTACGAAAAGTGCTTGATTCTTTGACGGTGAATTTATTTCCTTCTTGTGTAATTGTCAGTTTCAAATTGTCATGAGCTGCAAGCTTCCTTTTCACCATATTAACACCTGCAAAGCAAAAGATGTTGGAGAAAATAAAGTCAAAATGCCATAGAAAGTGTTTATTTCAACAAGTTCTGTTTTATTTATTTGTTTATGTACATTTTGAGGGTGGGAAGGAAAACTTGATAGCATTGCCTTTGTACAAGAGCATTCAGATTGCCTCTTACAGAAAAAATTCAAGCTTAGTCAGATCAAGAATAGTGATTCAAGTTAGGTTTCCAAAACTTATGAAAAATTAAATGAAAAACAGAATTGTAGAATCTTACAACTGAGTAATTTTAAAATAATTATCAAACTTTATGCTTCAGTGTTAAACTAAATTCCAGAAATGTCAAACAAAGGATTAAATATATTAATATATTTATAAGGAACTTTAATTCTGCATAAACAGTATTTTTAAACATTTTTTGACTTTCCATAATGGCTTTAAAATTTTGAACTTCATAATTCTCTTTGCTTTTTGTGGCATTTCTGACTATCACAAAAATGAGAAAATTGGCAAAGATTGCAGTCAAATTCATTATTGTAAGAATGTGCAAATCCCATAAATTTCAACATGGAATTCTGAACTATAGGATATAATTGATGCAAATTTTGTTTTGGGGGAATGACTCCAATTTGTTTGCCCCTCTCACACAGTGTATGAGCTGCCAGAGTATTGGAATAGATATTAAATTTGTTAAATTAAAACCCGCATAGAAACCACATGGAATCATGAGATTATTCCCAAATTTATGTCAGAGGAAATGAGATTTATGTCTAATTTACTTAGAGCTGTGAATCATGATAGAACTTTTTTTTCCCATTACTTTACTGTATGATCTTTGTTTTTCCATCCCCTAAAATTCAATGTTTTGAAGTTTTCGTTATGCACTGCCCTTTTTTACTTTCTAAACCCCCCCCCCCAAAAAAAGTAAATTTTCAATGATACAGGCACAATCAGCAGTTGAAGAGTGAGTGAATCATACCTGGATCTCTTTTGTTTCAGAGAACTCAGTCGTTTTTCCCACTAGTGAAACTGTAGTTTTCCTAATATAAGAAGTGAGAATATTGTTTTCCCTACTCTGAGCCTCACACATTTTGGATCCTCACCACCAGAACAGGAGCCATTCCCTAAACCCTGAGGTTTAGAAGGAATTAGAAGGAAAAATGTCTGTGAAGAACAAAATAACAAGCCACTAAAGAATTAAGCCCTTACCCATTTTTTCCATGAACTTGTCATAGTTCTCATTCCGGTCTATCTTCCAAGTACCATCAAAAGCCATGATCTCCAGTTGAGTCAGCCTCTAAGCAATCAGAGATTCAGGTCTGTCCTTAGGAGACAATTTATTCTATTTCTTATCTTAGAACCAAATTCATACTGTGATGTGGAAGTTTAAAGTTTAAAAGGTCACTTAACTACATAATGCCCAGCCATTGTGGTTTATCTTTCTATAAATTTCTTAGTTCCTCTCTGGAAATTCAACTGAATTACAGTTGACCCTTGAACAACATGGGTTTGAATTGCCTGGGATTTTTTTCAATAAATACCGTACAATATTGTAAATGTATTTGTTTTTCCTTATTTTTTAAATATTTTCTCTAGCTTTCTTTAGTGTAAGACTACAGTATGTAATACATATGACATACAAGATGTGTATTAATTGACTGTTTATGTTATCAGGAAGACTTCCGGTCAACAGTGGACTATTAGTGTTTAAGTTTTTGAGGAGTCAAAAGTTATACAAGAATTTTTGACTGCGTGGAGGGGGTTTGGTGCCCCTGACCGCCCCCCCCATGTTGTTCAGGAGTCAACTATAAAACATGATAAACAATACCTATTCTATCTCAAACTACAACTTGTGAGTACATTTATTTCGAGAACTAGAATGCGTACTCTCTTAAAATAGGTTTTCTGCTTATAAGTTCAAAGTGCTCACTACATTGGAGGTAACACAATTTAGAACATATATCAAATAACATCTGGGAAATGAGACAATTAATGACCTATCCCTTTTTTACAATAACAATTACCTTGTAAAGTAAGATTTTATGACCAAATATAAATAAAAAGTTAAAGTTAATATGATATTGAGACTGAAGATTTATTTATTTTACTAATACGTTCTTTTGCATTGTGCTTTTGGGTTGCCAGGAGTTTGGTAAATATCCTGACACCTGGTACAGTCCATAACCCATGGGTGCTCACTGGAGTTTTTGTTTTGGTCTTGAATGATGATAGGCAGCTGAGAAAAATTTTAAGAGGTAGAAATGTAGCTAGATAACCCGAAAACTTCCGTTAGAGAAACAGTCAGTTTTAAACCTCTGCCATGTACAGAGAAAACAAAAACCAGATATCAACCATGCCATTAATTAAAACCATTCCTTTGTTTTACCCTTTTTCACTCTCATCCCCAATCCTGGGGCAATCAGAAGCTCAAAGTCAATAGGTATGTGGGACGAGACTATGGAGGATAGCCTAAAAGGTAAAAACTAAAGGAGGTCACCATATCTCTCCTTTCCACCACTGCAGGCTTTCAGCCTGGAGCAGGACTGAGCTGGTAGAGGAAACACATTAACTTATTATGAAGTGCAGAGTTTTGGTTATTAACTAGTCTGAATATATCACTTGCTAAAAAGAGACCAGTATTGTGAATAAATGTGACCAAAGAAACTCTTATTAACTCAAGGTCAGCAGAGAAACTAAAGAGCATGCCCAACATTTCATTCAGGGTTAGAGGAAGGATGTATCTAACGCATTCGAACAGGAAATTGGGGAAATAGAATTACGTTTTTAATTTTTTTTTTTTTTTAAGTAGGCTTCATGCTGGGCATGAACTCACAGGGCTTGAACTCACAACCCTGAGATCAAGACTGAGCTGAGATCAAGAGTCAGACGCTTAACCAACCAAGTCACCCAGGCATCTCTAGTTTTTAATTTTGATTGTATCCGTTGGGCACACTTTTTCAGTGGAGTTGCCCACTTATTTTATCAAGTAAACACATTAAAAAGCTAACTACCTTCTACTAGCTCCATTATTTCATTAAGAGAGAAAAAGACATCAAAACAGAGAGAGAATAAAAAAAAAAGAGAGAGAGAAAGGGAGAGGGGTGATGGGGAAGAGAGATTGTAATTTTAGAATACTAGAAATCCTTTACATTTGTAACTACCTTTATGAAAAAAAATTGATTACTTTGTTTTTCTCCCTTTTATCAAAGATAGTGAAAACTCATCATTTGGGAACCATAACCCTAGTATACTTCCATTTAAGAAGGGAACATAATAAGTTCAGGTAAGCAAATAGCACTTGGACTCATGCCAACCTACTAACAGAATGGACATGTTAAACTTTTCAGTCTTCCATTTATCAGTGGCAATATCCTAATTTAAAGTCAGGAGTCGCTGTTGTCTGTAGAGTGGCACCCTTGGATTTTTTAAATGAGTAGATCAAATTTTTAACATTATACTTTTCCAGCTTCCCAATTCTGTAGCTTCTCAATTCTTACCACTCAACTGGACCCCACCTAGAAAAGATTATATAGAACCTATAGACCAAGTTCCCTGCAGACCTCTCCTACTGATGATACAATCGGACCATCTGGCTGAGGGCTGACCCAGTTCTTTATTTTCTTCTCTGTTAAAGCAAGAAGACTAAGGGTCCTGCAGCTGGGGAGAATGGGTGGATTAGGTATGTGTGCGCAGATCCTCTCTCTCTCTCTCTCTAGGCTCATAGTCCACGTTAGTCACGGAGTGGTATGGAAGAAATGGGAATCAACAGAAGCTCCTGGTGATCCCTATCCCATTCCTGCAGGGGATTGTACAAATTACATTCCTAACATGGCTTACGAAGCCCCTACTCATATCTCTAGTCTCTTGCCATTCCTTACTGTGTCCTGCAAGGTCTAAACACACTAAACTTCTTTCAGTCTCTGGTCTCCTGAATGTGCATGCTTTCTGTTGCTTAAGGTCCCAGCTTGGTCATTGACTGCTCTGAGAAGCCTGTCCTGAACTACCACGAGTGCATCAGGTAAGCCTACTTCTCCCAAATGTAATGACCTTCTAAAAGTCTCATAAAAGTCATAAAAGATAAAAACAGCTGATTCATGATAGCCAAGGAAATATTAGTATCATCATGAAGACCAGAAACATCATGAGGAAGGGCAGTACAATGTTTCAAGCTCATCTCAAAAAAATAGCTTTCTAGAGATCACAGAAAAACCCTTTCACTGCATTGTATAGTAGGAGGAAACATTTTTCTAGAGTAATTAAAAAAATACATCATTTATGGAAAACAGCATTTTCTGGCCTCTTCTAATCACCTCAGAATTTCAATCTCAACTTGTTTAACTTTTACATGCCCAAGAAAACTAGTGGTCTCTATCAGGCCCTTGTAAGAGAGGGATTTGAGGGACCAATGCAAGGAGCAACAAGACGTTTTAAGATTACTGTCCAATGCCTAGCAGTGAATGGGGAATGAGAAAGAATTTTAGTGTTTGCCTACAGAAACCACTTCATTCTGTTTTAACTGTAATCTTCTAAATTTTGGAAATATTAAGACCTGTTAAATTATGTCTTAGATTTTGCACCTGACATGGCTGTTTGGTTTTCTTCCAGAAAGACTGTAGAGTTATAGCAGTGCATAGCAGGACTTCTGCCATAAAATGGCCACTGTGGCTCGCTGATTGTCCTTAATAACAGGACAGCCATTTTATGGGATCCACATGTGTCAGTTGAATGATCTTGCATGAAGGATTTATTCTTTTTATGATTTCATTTATTTATTTGACAGAGAGAGAGAGAGAGCACAAACAGGGGGAGCAGCAGGCAGAGGGAGAGGGAGAAGAGACTCCCCGCTGAGCAGGGAGCCTGATGCAGGGCTAGATCCCAGGACCCTGGGATCATGACCTGAGCTGATAGCAGATGCTTAACCGACTGAGCCACCAAGGTGCCCCTTGCTGAAGGATTTATAACTCCTTCATCTTCTGCCTTCTTTGTAGTCTAGGTCTATCCCCAAAGTGATGAGTCTCCCTCAAGCAATTTGGATGGAAGGTCACTCATCTCCTATGTTCCTCATACCACAGATAGTGGAAGATGAGTTTGCATTATCTCAGCTCCCCACTGCCCCATCCAAACCATTGTCCTCCCCCCCCATTTTTTAAGAAAGTCTTTTCTTTTGAGACCATTTCCTTTTGGCTATCACCTTCCAGCCTCCTTCATCATAGTTATCTGCCATTTACCGCATCTATCATTATCTACCATCTGTCCCCATGTAACATTGCTATCTACCATCTATCACTGAAGATCTTGCAGCTGGCATCATCTTCTGTGTCCTGGCGTCATCCTGGGTGACCTCAAAGTCCACGTAGATAAGTCATTTGTCACTGTGGCCTCACAGTTCCTTAACCCCCTCATCTCTAGTAACCTTTGTTACACTTTATCCACTTACATCCAGGGTTATAACTTGTGATTTGCGCTCACTAGAGTTGTTCCTTCTGTAAAATTTAACATGGGCCTCTCTGACCACAACTCTCCATCCTCTCAGCTGCTTCATTTTCTCCCATATTTTGGGAGAAAATTTGGCTTGGAGAGAACATCAGTCAGTTCCCTTTATTTTCTCCCAAATTGGAGCCCCCTCCTGGTTTCTTTACATTCTCGAATCAATATCCTATCACCGATAAAAAAAACTCTCTTGCACGTTTTCCCTGCACCAACCCCTGTGCTATTACACATGCATGGTTTCTAGTCTCAGCTGAATCGTCCGCACTGTCTCGCAAGACTTCTCTGTGTCCCAATCAACTCCCTCTTCATTTCATGACAGTACCTTTAATAATTTTTTTCTATTAAAAGCAGAGTTTTATATATTTTTTTAAATTATTTTATTGAAGTGTAGTTGACACAATGTTACATTAGTTTCAGGTGTACAACATAGTGATTCAGCAACTCTATACCTTATGCTGTGCTTACCACACGTGGAGCCGCCATCTGTCACCATCCAACGCTATTACAATATCATTGACTATTTTCCCTTGGTTGTGCCTTTTATTCTTGTGACTGATTCATTCTCTAACTGGAAGCCTATATCTCCCCTTCACCTATTTTGCCCATCCTCCCAACCCTCTCCCTCTGGCAACTACCCTCTCCCTCTGTTTTCTGTATTTATGGGTCTGTTTCTGCTTTGTTTATTTTATTTTTTAGATTCCACATGTAAGTGAAATTATATTGTATTTGTCTTTCTCTGTCTCTTATTTCGCTTAGCATAATAAGACCTAGGTTTATCCAGGTTGTCTCTAATTGCAAGCTCTCATTCTTTTTTATGGTTGAATA